CYATCTTTCCCTCTCGATGCTTCCGCGCACCCCCTTTTTCACTTAGCTCCTTTAACAAGGCCCTAGAGGCGAAACCAATGCCACTATCTGATTCGCCCTATCCTAAAACCTCAGAATCGCATTTTTCCCCGCCCGATTCTAACCAGGAATGGGTGGGATATACAATTTCCTCTCCATCTCCCTCGCCTTCACTTCGTCTTCATCATCTTCATCTCCACGTCGTCTTCTCCCTCCCAAATACTGCACACCCTTACCGCTCACTGTCTGATAGTAGCTGAGGCTGTCAAGAGCTGCCAACCAGAGCCGGTTCTAAACTTATACTTGTTATTATCACACGGGTCATGCTAATCTTCTCTATATCGTTCCAATTTTAACGGATGTCCCGAAGGACACTGGTGGGAAAACAACACTCGGACACCTCTACTGAGCCGACTGGGCCTAGGCAATTCTAAGTGGTTTTTCACCCTTCCCACCCAAGGGCCTCTGGGTTCAAGCTTGAACCCGTATATCAGCAGTTCAGGGGTTGTGTACCGGCTGTACTCAGCCAACGGGTCCTTGTGCAAATCTTTGGAGGTGGTAACAATTTCTCTAGTGAGAACTTTGAAGACTGGAGTAGAGAAGGGTTCCAAATGCCCAGCTGTACACGGCCAGTGCTGCTGCAGCCACCACCCTTCCCTGCTGTGCCCAAGCACAGTCCTTCCTTCGGGCCCCAACGGGAATGCCTATACTGTGCCCCCCCCCCCCCAAAAAAAAAAGGAGAAAAAAAAATACAGATTTTTGGGACAGATGACTTTGAGGTCTTGGGCATGGTTCGGGTCACTCATTGTTGTACCTTCTCAGATGGGACCAGCCCTGGTCGTCTGCAGTAGTGACAATTTGGTACTTTGCTAAGTTTGCTGGTCACACGGCACTACCCACAAACTGTGCATGAATTCTTGTGAATGAATTTTTACCAATTCTCGAACATAATGCCAGAAATAAAAATAAATAAAATTGGGCATYTGCGGCCRTCCTTAGATGTGACCACAAATCTTCGTACCCCGCGGCTACACAACTGAGGCTGCTGTCAAGTGGTCATACACAAGATGGTACCCTTGGGACCTMAGAGAATCTGTGTAACCGGTCCGATGCCTTACCGGCCTCAATGGGCACGCTCACACTCAAACCTCTCACTACAGAAATGGGACTGGGCAGGCCCATACCCAAGCCTCACACAGCAGGTCGAAGTTGGTGTCCGCTGTATCCCCTGGTCACGGCCTTTCAAGTCTTGTCCACCATCCCGCGGGCCTCTATGGGCATACTCACACTCAAGTGGCGATGCGGTGGGTGGTGCACCTGATCTGCACCCCGGCCATGCACATGCATTTCCCTCTTTCTTGCATAAAGTCATGCCCTTGAAATACCCACATAGACCCGGCGGGCGTCGGGTAATCTAATAATTCTATTTTGGTCATTTATATTCGAACGCAGGTTTGTATTTCAACAGTTCACGGGTGTACCCACTAAGCTGGGCTCTTGGCCTTCACGGTCGGTCGACAGACCGGCATCTGACCAAGTCCCAAAAATTGGGGCTAAAAGAAAGAAAAAGAGAAAAATAAAAAATAAAACTTAGGCCAAGAGAAACTGGGAGTTCGGATAGGGGGGAGGGGAACCGTCAGGACTCGGTCCTTGGTACTGCCTAACGGGCCCGCGGTTGAAAAACCCTCGCAAAACTAAGGGGGATAGTCCCACGGGACCCTCGACCCCTCAGTTTTCTCCTGCAATGCGCTCCTCGCTCCTCCGCTGCTGCTTGTCGGCCTTGATCCCAGGATCTACGTAGTGAAAGTCCAATGCAATAACCAATAGGGCTAGGCCCAAGTCTGAGCCTCGCAGGCACAATCCTCCAAACGAAGAGCAATTGCAGCAGCTTGGGCCTGCGACAGTGCACTAAATGTTGCTGCTCTATTTATCCCTTGAGCCCAAGGCCCCGCACTGTCGTGTCTTGCCGCTTATAGGACAGTTACTGCTTCGTTCGCCCGGCGCACTGCCCCGTCATGCTGCCCCACGAGCCAAGGCTCTCATATCCTGCCGCATTTCGCCGAAAGACCACCCCCTTTTCCGTTTCCGGGTCAAAAAGACCCCGGCTTTTGCACGTACCGCCCCCGGTCTACGCCATCCTAGCTAAGGTTTGCCACGACTTCTACCGCCGACGATATGCAACCAAAACTAGTACTTCTGTTCTTAAGGTGGCCCCAAAACACCGCCTTTTCAGTAAGTCTACGAAAATTCTCCCTTTTAGTCGTAGCCTCAACGGTTGATCTATGCGTCGGTCGCGACTTCGTCAGCGTGCCCGAGGTTGCGGCCCACAGCGCTATCCAAACCTCGAACTTACTTCTAACTTTCGACCGCCGAGCGATTCGTTTGTCCACACTAGTTAAATACTTTAACTAACGCGTGCCCACCAAGTGCACGCCTATACACACTCTCTGAATTAATCAAGAGTGCGCTCGCCATTTTCTGACTTCCGCGAGTCAGTCGCGGCCGAGCGAAAAGCACGCCGCTCTCTCAAATACCATCAAGTGTGCTCCCTCTGCGAGGTGCAAAAATACGCACAATTACCCTTGTAAGGGTATTGGTGTCGACAGTTTTCCGGACCCTATTAAGCGACGTCCCCGTCGCGTCGAACAAATCAAAGGCTACAAGCACTCAAGATTCCATCTGACGAGGTAGTAACCAATCCGATTAGCCAGGTCGACTCCGTTAGAGGCATCTTGTCAATCTACCCCAGCCACGACGTTCCACTGCCAGGGTTTTAACCTGGGTCTCCCACATCCTGGACTAGGAGTTAGGGTGTACTGTCTTCCGTACTACAGCGTAATACCCGCTTCCAAGTAGTAGATTGATAGCCCTCCTCCCTTCGTCGTGGACATCTGCCGGTTTATCGTTGAGTGTCCTAATGAGTCATCGTCCCGCGTACGGGATCATAACTCAGGACGCGGGCCCTAAACGAGACCTCTCTAAAAAACCGGGGCACCTTTAGTCCCTAAAATGGTAATTTTTACCATCTCAAATATCTCTCATAATAACTGYCCACCCTGGTGTCTACACAGGAGGTTTCAGGTCTCCATCTTGGCCCACCGTAGAATGGTCGATCACACCGTATCCACGACTCATCACGTTTGTTATATAGCGATGATGCCCTCATTGGTTGCGCAACGATAGGCGTACTTACCGACTCTCAGACTCATTCAACCCCACTGACTCCCCCCTAGCTATACCTCTCCGGGCGGCCGACCCTTCAAGATTTAACCATTGGTGAGTCGTGGTCCCGCTGCCAGGTTGTGTCGGTCAACGGCCCTCGCTGGGAGTTAGGTTCTACAGTTCCAGCGATGCTAAGTATAGCCCCTTAGCTTGACCTCACAAAATATATCCCCCTAGACTAACCATTATGGTTTGGCAAATAACTCTAGACAACCTCTAGATTCATATACCCTCCCTACCTCGGACTATGTGGGGGGATAGTGTCGCTTTCTCTCTATGTTCCAAGAACTTTCTCTCTTCTCCACAAGGTCGTGCCCTCCTTTACTTTGATCAGAACAGGCGGCGGTTACACGTCTTAGGGACACCTCACAAAAGTCTCCCATCATAATTGCTAGAAAATTTTCATCCATAATTCTCACAAGGATTTTGGTCTTCCCTCGTCAGACTTTCACTCATACATACAATTTCCTCATCATTATAGCAACTCATTTGAGTGTTTCCTCATAGTTCCACTCTTATATATATGTGGAGAACCCAACGGCCATTGAGTCTCCTTCTCTYGTTTTCTTTTGAACCACACAAAAGACACAACTTTTAGTTGTAACCTCTCCATTTATCATCACTCAAATCCTTTTGAACTCAACACATAATTCCTTCTTTCAGACAGACGTGAAATGCACTCTTTTTCACTGTACTTATGACTTCGTCTGTCCTAATAACAAATATGCCTAAGTACAGAGGAAGACAGTGCGGATCAGGTCATTTCCACAACATTTTAATTCATCACATTAATCATCCATATGGGCAAGTCCACAACTGAGAGTAAGCGTGACACACCACACAAAAAAGAAAAAAATCTGAGACTCGCACAAGTACACAGAACGTGGGGACCTTGCAAATAAGCAAAGACTTTTGTCCATATCGAAAAAAATCGAAGTATCGTACAAAGAGTCAAGTATCGCACAAAAGGTCCAAGTACTACAAAAAAAGACTAAGTATCGCACAAGGACTCGTAGTATCCAACAAAAACTCATGGTATCCAACAAGGTATCAAAGTATCTGGAAGAAAGTCGAAATATCCAAGAAAGTCAAAAAGTAAAAGAGAGCCAGAGTATCCACACCTCACATCACTCACACACTGTCTGACTCACCCTGTTCTGAAAAGGAAAAAATCATGAACTCACACAAAAGCACTACCTAAAAACACTCCACACCACACTTAAAAAAAAGAAAGGAAAACCGACGTAGCCAGTGTCACACTCAATGCTATCCTATGTACACTAAGTCTGAAAGTCTATATGCGAAAGTAAACATCTTTGTAATGACTCAATTAACTGATGTACATGGGCGTGATCCAATCGTCCATGTATTCTCCGATATACAGTCATCCATCAGTAGTGAGTCAAAGATGTTCTACACATGTCAGAATCTAGACTTTTTCAGACCCTATTCGTAAATCCTACTCCTGATCACTCATGTCCTCCTGCAGTTGCCTATACAACTGTGCCCGTATCCCATCACGAGTCTTCAGGATCAGGTTCCCATCTCTGTCCCTGCGCACGACAGATGGATCCCATGAAAACAAACCATCGGCCTCATCCTTGAGGCTTTTGGAACAGGTTTCTTGTGGGTGCTTGCCTTTCTTGCAGTAGAAGCATCTTTCAAACTTCTCCTGCTCCATCTTGTCAGCTGCATGGGAGGGTACAGATGAGGGGGCTGTTGTGGCCTCACTGGTGACCTCCTGCTGTGGGTGCTCTGGGGGAATGGGGCATGTTGCTCTGTCATCTGTTTGCGCCATCTGCTCACTCACTCACTCCTCTGCCCCGGATTCAGTGGCCCAAGATCCCTGTGCATCCTCCAGACCTGCAACCAGAGGCATATCCTGAGGTGGTGGGGTCTTCTGAGAGACCTCCCGCTCCTCCCTTTCCTCAGCCTCAGCCATGGCCTGTCCCACACTCTCCTGAACCTCCTGTCGCCCCACAGTCTCCCCCTGAGTCATGGGAAGTGCAGCCTCATTCATCGCATCCTCTGCTGGTGACCTCACCTCATGTGCCAAGGCTGTGGGCATCCTCCACTCAAACCCCCCAGTCTCTGACCCCGTCCTTGCTAGAGCCTCCTTAGGCTGCAACATCTCCTTATCTAGCAGGGGGATTTCCTCATCCTTCTGCTCGTTTGCCCTCTCTTCCACCTTCTGACACTTGAAGGCCTCCTCTGCAGGCTGCTTCCTGATCTCAAACCCCTTGACCTCTGTCCAATCCACCACCGTAGTCGGCGCCTGTTGTACACATTTGGCCTCAAGATCCTCTATCCTTTTCTCCCACTTGGCTTCCTTTGCCTGAAAAATATTATGTTGTACCTGCAAGTTGGTCCTCAGGGTGTCGTTGACTTTGTTGAGGGTCTGGTTGACCTGTCTGATGGCCTCGTTGCCTGCCCAGGCCTTCTCCACCTCAGTCTTCATGGCTTCCATCTTCTTGTCCGGTCTCTCAAACTCCTTCTTCAGATCACCAATTTCTTTCTGCCAGTTCATTTTCTGCTCATGAGACGCCCGCGCTACCCTTGTCAACCTCTTCTCCATCTTTTCATCAGAAGTCTTGGCCGTCGCAAAGCCTTCCTTCGTAAGGCCCTTCAAGTTAATCAAGTCTGTAGAGACCAGCTTAACCCCCATCTCCTGATGCTGCTCTTTGGGTCTCCCTGCTGCCTCCAACAGCTTATCAAAGTTGTCCCAAGCCTCCGTGAAAAGAGGAGTCTCATCGTCTTGAGTGGGTGAGCCATTTCCCTCTCTGTCTTCTAGTATCACAGACTGCTCTCCCTGCTCAACTTTCTCGTGCAACTCCGTCATGTTCTTGAGTCTGATTTGGACTCTGATTTTTCTCTCTATTGTTGCTCTCTCTTCCTTGTCCTGTTCCTTCTCTCTTGCAGCCTGATCCTCATCCTGTCCCTGACCCTGTGCCCTATGAGACGTCTCTGGCTGCATGCCTGGCCTAGGAGTGGCTTCAGGTATCTGAGCAGGCTGAGGAGGTATATCTGATCCCTCTGAGGGTCCTCCCCTTTGGGTCCTCTCTACAGTCTGCTCCTCTTTCTGTTGAGTCCTGCCAATATGCTGGTCCTCCCGTCTCTCCTGCCTCTGGGACCTGTGCTCTCTCCTCTGGCCATCCCTCTGAGCTCCTGAGGTCATGCCCTGCTCAGAGGTTCTCCTCTCTGCAGTTTCTGGCTCCTTCCTCTTTCTTCCCATACTCCTTCTCTCGTCAGCCTGACGCGCCGGAGTATAGTGGTTCCAAAGCAATTTCTTGCAATGGCCCCAGTTCTGGGCAGGCTCCACAATAGATCTGACGAACGGCCTGAGGTGTTCCCTCACAAACAGAATAAAACCTCTCACCCTCTGGCTTGGTGGCTCGTTGATGCTATCTGCAAACTCGTCGTAGCCCTTCAGGAACTCCCACAGGTTAGTGGCATCGAAACGAATGGGCCGTTCATCTCTTCCTAGCGGCGATGGGTGCAAGCTCTCCATCTTCTGCTCAAAATCCTGCCAGGTCAATGACTCCCTGACGAAGTTGGCAAGGGGTTGTGCCCACTCGCCTGCTCCTCGCACCTCCCGCAGCATCCTGCTACTATCCCATCCAAACTCATGACCGTGCCTCATGAACCCAACCATGAACAACTCAACGTTGTCTCCTGTATAAATGGGTGGCCTATCCTCTCTCCTGGCCCTCACCTGCACCCCCTGTCTGGTAACCCCCAGAGGGGTTTCCACTGGCCCTGCCCCTCCCTTCCCTCTTAGCATGGCTGCCCAAAAACTGGTTTCAAGCCTGCACAACAAGGAAGAGACAGACAAAAGCACACTGAGGGTAAGCAGGTTCGGCAAACAAAACAGGAGACAGACATTCCCCTCCCATATCTACCTTAACTACATATACATACATGTGTACATACACGTATATAAATCTATCTTAATACTATACTCTATCACACCATTCTACTGAGAAACATAAACAATTTTCTCATATATATATGACGATATATATATATCTATCTAGTATTACTTAACAGAAAGGGACTCTAAATTGTGGGACCCATGCTCAACTCGTCTCGAGCGACAAACTTCTTCAACCTCGAGCCTGACACCCAATCTTTCCAGGCAGTCCCATTCAGCTCTTCAATCTGGTATGCCCCACGCTCTCTACTCCTCGCGACCCTGTATGGTCCTAACCACCTCTTGTCCAACTTTCGCGACCACTGCTTCTCTAAGGATGAATCGTATAGTAGCACAACGTCGCCCACCTTGAGAGGCTCCTTCCTTACCCTTGCCATCTTATCCCACCTGAACTTATCCCTCTGTCGGTTGTCAGCCACCTTACTCGCTGCAGTTTCAATTCTGTCCTCTATGGCATTAATCTGACAAGCCCTTAAGTCTAACAGTTCCTCAAATGACAAGTTTGTCTCGAGGTCCTGCCGCCTCCAAGTCTTTAGGAAGCTTTCGATAGGGAAGGTCGCATGTCTGTCATACCACAACGTTGTTGGCGCGTAGTTGGTGCTTCTTCTGACAGTGATGTTATCCATGAAGAAGGCGACCCTTAGGAAGTTAGGCCACTGTTTTGGCCTACCATTCGTCCACTTAGCGAGGAGATTCGTAATTGTACTATGACCCCTCTCCACAGGTGCATTAGCTTGAGGGTGCGCCGTAGTAGTATACTCTGCGATCACTCCATACCCTCTCAGCAGTTCTTTCACCTCAGCACAAGTGAATTCGGACCCTCTGTCCATTACGAATTTGGAGACAAAAGGGTAGCGGAGGTAATACTCCTCAATGCATCGAGCCAAGGTCTCACCAGTTTTTGTGCGTATGGCTCTGCCATCTACAAAACCGGAGAGGTTGTCTCGTGCATCGAAGATGAAGTTATACTCACCTACTCCCAACGGCATTGCCAATAAGTCCAAATGTACGACCGCCCCAACCTCGCATATGTACCTTGGGTGAAGCAGCTCCCTAGGTCTAATGGAAGACCGCTGCTGGCATGGAACACATGACTTGCAATAATCGTTGATCATTCGTCCCATGTCATCCCAATAGTATAGCTCGTGTATTTTGAGGAAAGTTGTATCCTTACTCCTATGGCCACCTGCCTTACCATCATATAGGGCAGCTATGACGTCGATCTGACGAGCGATGCCGCAGACTACCCTTCTTGGAGTCTTCCCTTTACTCCTCATAAATAGATGGCTATCCCTTACTAAGAAGTTTGGTCGCATCTTGAGAACTTTCTCGCACGCATCTCTTTCTCTCATTTCGCACGAAAGGAGCATTCCTAATTCCAGATATATCCCGTCATACTCCTCCGTGCAAAAAGCCTCTTTTATCTCTCCCTCTTCAAAATCGTCGTCCTCTCCTTCGTGAACTACATTCTCATTCTTGCCTTGCCGCTGATCCCTGATCCTTGCCACCTCGTCTTGAAGTAGAGCATTGGCCAAGAGGTATATCCCACCTATCGAAGTCTCGTGCCCTTCCACCTGTTGCGCCCCATTTTCCATCGTGAGTAGGTCTTTGTGCAACTGGTATTTGTCTGCTAAGGCCAGATTCATCATCCACTGCACGTTTGACACTCCCCATGAATCTTCCTCAATGCAGGGCTTAAGAACTAGATCTGGTCGTCGTACATGTCCTGGAGGCGCGAGCCACACATGTTGTCCAGGAGTAACGTAGTTACCCACGACCATCGACCAGGAGTTGATGTGAAGTCTCACATCCACCTCACTGTCCAGAAACCCGTCGACTGGCGAAGTATCCTCGATCACTCCTTGATTATTTTTGTCCCAGTCGACTCGACTCAATCCGTCTGCTCTATTTTTATTTCCTGGAATTCGCTCTAATTCAAAATCGAACATCCAGATGTATGTTAACCACCTGGCGATAGTCGGGTCTGATGGGGCGAAATTCTTGAGAGAACCGGCTAGAGCAGTTAGGTCCACCCTCAACACGAACCTGCTGCCGAAGAGGTAGTTTCTAAAGATCCTTAAGCAATGGAGAACCGCCAAGGTCTCGCGCTTAAACTGAGAGTAATTTCTCTCAGTTGTGTTAAGCGTGCGACTTTCAAACCTTAGTGGCTGCTCTTCTCCGTTAAGGTCTTGCTGAATCAACACACCTCCTAGCGCAGTTGGCCCTGCATCAGTTTCTACAATAAAAGGTCTGGTCATCACTGCCGAGTGGTCTGGTACTCCCAGTACTAGACCCCCTTCTTCGAATTCCTTCTTTAGGCCCTTTATTACTAACTCCTTCTTATCTCCCCATTCCCAGTCTTGTCCTTGGCGCACGAGCTTTCGAAGTTGTTCCGTCTTTACCGCAAACCCTTTTATGAAGATCCTCCAGAACCCACATGTCCCGAGAAAACTTCTTATCTCCGTAATAGTCTCGAATGGGGTTGGCCATTCGAGAATCTTATTGGTTTTCTTAGTGTCTGGTCGACGACCCCTCTCGTCGCACACAAACCCCAAGAATCTTATTGGTTTTCTTAGTGTCTGGTCGACGACCCCTCTCGTCGCACACAAACCCCAAGATGATGGCCCCGCTCATGCAGTGTCTCGATTTAGACCCACTTGCAGTGAGGTTATGCTCCTTTAGCAAGTCTAGGACCCTGCACAAGTCTTGCACATGGTTCCAGGCAAAGCGTCTAATCCCTGCCATTACCTCCTGCTCGTTCTTCTCTTTAGGCCCTTTTATGGCTAAATCATCAATGTAAGGCTGAGTAATGTGAGGGCTTACTGGCTACATTGCCCTCACCATGTGCCTCTGGACCATGGCGACTGCATTCGTCCACCCCTGCGGTGCGACGTTCATATGAATTAACCCTCGAGAGGTATGCATTGCCGTCATCGGTCTGTCAGAGGGGTAAACAGGAAACTGGTCGTAACAAGAATATAAGTCTATGAGAGATATGATGGCTCTCCCAGCGCATGCCTCTGAAAGTGCATCTGCGTTAGGGAGACTACCTGCATCTCTCACAGTTACAACATTCAGGCGCTGCAAATCCTGTACCCACCTCAAGGTCCCGTTTGGTTTGACGAAACAAAACCAAGGGGATGCATACGGTCCGCTCGAGTAGTCGGACACATGTGTGCGGATTTTCCCGTCAAGGTCACTAACTACCTTTTCTTCGTCAGCCGGATTAGGGTACCGCACGCCTCGCAAATTTCATGGCTCGTGAGGAACGGTATGTATCCTAATCATCRGGATTCTATCCACGTCCAGACGGCCCCGTTCATCATCATTRAARGCATATGCAGTATGCCTTYCTCTTATGRTCTCTACCATAAGCTTCTCCTCTTGYGCCGTAAGGAAGCCGRRCTYMCCTATAATCARCGTMTTTTCTGTCTCAGGAGTGATACGACATGRCCCTATMTGTGCGTCCTCTCGCATTTGTCGTATCAGTTCTCGTTCCCGCTCGTAATRAACWTCTTRCTCCTCARTAACGAGTAYGGGAACARGGCGGCACTTYTGATMTACCCTCTTGTACCGCCTTTGTGAACCCTGSTTGAKCKTACCCCTAAAAAAGGYCGAGTTGCAGTTTGGGGTTGTGCTCCCGCGGTTCCACCTATCCTTCCAGGCACTCGATATAYGAGTTYTGCCTCAYCTTCACCTCTCCTYTCCATCACCTTTTCCCTGAGGGCTTCTACTGCCAYAGGGTCTGYCATTCCATAGGTGGATAYTATGTCYATRGCATCCCCTATATTAGTCAAGCTGAGRGAGAGGRCCTCYRAWGGCTCTTCGCCTTCAAACACCTCACCCTCCAACCTCAACCTTTCTACCTCTGACTCTTCAATAGTAAAAGAGTCAGGGTTGGGCCGATTTCTTATGCTTCGTGGCCCTGTGTTCTTGCATGTGATTACCTCATAGTTCCCACATACAGGGTCACAAAGTACCAAGAACATGGTCCCATCATGCTTATTCAGTATGACGGTCTCCGTTCGGCTAAAAAAGGATCGGCCCAATAGGATGGGATGGTCGAGATCGGGCATTACAAAGAAACAGCAACCTTGCCGATCTCTAAAACCACTCTCGATGCGGTCCCTATGAACACAGATCGACTATTCGCTCTCATTAAAACTCCATTATCCGAGCGATCAATCTCCATCCCCAAGCATAAAGCATGTTCTTTTTTTATGAGGTTCATTTCCGCCCCAGTATCCATCATTGTCGTGCACGTTTTTTCTTTTACTACTACGTCCAAGCATCCACATACGACGGACTTCCAATCCATCTTCGTGCCTGTCTCTGCCTATTCCGCTTCCGTGGGGATAATGGTTCCCAAGCGCACACTTGCCACTAACCTTCTGGACAATCGAGCCTTCAGCTCGTCCCTCAATTTTTTAGCGGAGGCGAGGATATCTTTTAAGTTCATTAGGTCGTTATGGCCCTCAAGGAGTCGATCGACCATTCCTTCCACGTCAAACCCCTTCTCCATTCTGACCTTATACTTTCTTTTCTTGCCCTCTTGTTCCTTACTAGCGTCGGCCTTTGCATCCCTCTTCTTGGCTCTTTCTTCAGCCTTCTTGTCCTCTTCCGTCCTAAACCTTTCATCCTCATCCTCCTCATCCTCGGGAATCTCTACCGTCTCTTTCTCGCCACTGGGTCCCGGGTTGTCCTGAGTGGGCTGGCTTGAGTCGGGCGCTCCCTTCGATCTAGTGTGTGCTGCCAAAGCTGCCCTTCCTGCTCTTGACGGCGGCCTGAAGGTCATCCCAAACCTAGGAGTTGGCGCCGTGACAGTCACTCTGGGCAGGTTTCCAGACCCGCCTTGTGCCCCTAGGCTTGAATCGATAAGGTACACCAATGGTAATTCTCCTTTCCACCTGTTGACCTCCTCACAAAGAGTGGTCAGCTTATCCTGGTACCTCCTTATTTTTGTCAGCAGGTCCTCCATTCTCTCCATCGTATCTCTTGCCCTGCCGTGACCACCGTCTTGCTCGTCGTCGTCGGATTCAACCACTATAGGCTCCTTCTTTATGGTGTCGACCCTCAATCCCTGTTCAACCTCTTCATTTTCGCTTATCTCCTCTATCCTTACGCCCTGACGGTCTTCTACTTCTTGCCAAATACGGAAAGCGGTCGGAGGAGCTGGTGGAGCTGGGGCACTAGCACGGCACAGAGCTTCATCCCGTATCCCCCCTGGGATTCTCGGGTCTATGTACTCACCGTACATGTCAAAAAAATCACCATCATAGCATGAACTTATCAGGCCATCTTTTTCATCACTCTTTCAGACCTGACAGAACTTAATTGTGTGGCCCTTCTGGGCACAATGCCAACAGATGATATTTCTCCAATCTACCCTTCCTCTTCCATATCCTCCACCACCTCGCTGGTCACTCTGACTCCCCGCACCGTTCCACCCGTCATTTCCTCCTCTTTGGGAGTTATTGTTCGCGTTTCCTCTCCCATATCCCCCGCGGCCACCATTTCCCTCCCATATCCCCCGCGGCCACCATTTCCTCGCCCTCGGCCCCATCCTTGATTTTGTCCTCTTCCACCACCTTGATTCCCTTGTGATCCTTGTGGGGCCGACTGCTAAGGTTGGTTTGGCGGTGGGTTCGAGTGACTCACCTGTTGAGACTGGGGTCCCGGCCATCCACAGGAAGCCGTACTCATCGGCGCTCGGACACATGATCCATGCGGCCCGCCCGTTGGCCATGGTGCATATGAACAGTGCCCATGCCAATGACTGGGAGGTCCACAACCTGGCCATAACCCATAGGGTGCTGGTGCGGCTTGACCGGACGACTCTGGGGGTGGCATCGCCACAGCCTGCGGGGCTTGACCTTTTCCTGAGCCTTGCCCTCCTTGAGTCGTGTTCCTTGCCTTCCTTTGAGCCTTTGTCAACTTTTGTGGTTCAGGCTCCTCTTCTTCTTCTTCCTCCTCCTCTAGCACTGCCACCTTCTTTCCTTTCCCTTGGGCTTGTGGCACCGCCATAGCCTTCTTTCTTGCCTCCTTCTCTGCATCGTGCTGGGCCACAGCCTCTTCTATCATTAGCTTGAAGTTGCGCCCCTCACTAGCGATAGTATCCAAAGTCTTCCTTTTCTTCCTAGCCAGTTTCATCTGGAAGATGTCTACCTGGTCCAACTCTCCCTCTAGCACGCCTTCTTTTATGGCACCCCAAGTCAGTTTCTTTCCTGGCGCAGCTTTCTTGGTTAGCGACGAGGCTTCCCAATTCTTGAAGTGCCCCAAGAAAGTGGCACACTGTTCTTCTTCTGCCAGCCCTGGGACTTTCTTTGCCATCTTCTCAAATGCTGTGGCAAAGGCCCCTACCATGGAGAACTCGTCCCGTCTCAACATTTCCATTTCTTCTTTTGTGAGCAGGCCATCCCCTACCTTGAAACGCCTCTCCATCTCTTCTTTAAACCTTGCTCACTCACCATTTGCATCGGCCGCTACTTTCATTACCTCAGGTCTAAGCTCCCACCATACGTACCTAGGCATCAACTTGAATTTGTCTGCCTTTGATGCCTCGCAAGTGACCTGCTCCAACAACTCAAGCCACTCGGACACCCTATCCCCATTGAAGTGGAAGATGTTAATTTTGGGCACCTGAAGCCGTGCCATCTCTCTCTTTTCCAAAGCCTTGACAAAGTCCTCGGGTGTAGCACCTGGGCCCCGCTCGATTCCATCGGAGTCTAGCATCTTTGTCCTTTCTCAAAACCTGTTGCCAAAAAAATGATTTCGACAAACATCTTGCCATCAAACCTCTAAACTCTCTAGCTCCGTTATTCGATCGAGCATACTTTTAATAACTAAGGTAGTCTATCCGGTCTTTATATCGTAATTCTGACTCTATTATTTGAAACGAATACACACAAGGCACACTCTCAACCTTATTCGCAAAAAATAAATTTTGTTAGGCCACCGAAGATAGCACAATACTCATATCATCATCTAACTTCTTCATCAAGGGTTGTCCTTTTGCCTGAATCATCTGTCTGCTTTTAACCTGGGTTCGTTCACTGTGGACCCCGGTAGGCAGCCGAGATCCCCGGCAACGGCGCCACCTGTCGAGCGCATCGGTCCCGCAAGGGGACCCTCTCGACCGCGTCACGCAGGATTTAGCAGGACTTCCGTCGCGGAGAGCGAGGTGCCGCTCCGGCCAAGTGCGCCAGCCGTACCTCTCGCGAGTCCCTGCGATAGGACAGAGCCACGCGAGGCACCGCTTTACCTCCACCTGCGGGAGCTGTCACCATCCCTTAGGTAGGTGTATCCCCGCCGAGCTACTGAACCATATGCGAAAGCTTTTCGTATGCAATTGCAGAGGTGGTCCAGCCGAGGGCGTTTCTCGTTCGTAATAGCATAGAGGGTTACGCGTGGTTGAACGCCCGAAAATCGAACCCGCATGCGAATCGACGTACTAGGGGGCTGAGGTCCCAAACGCGACTCGGCGCCGGTCGACTAGGACGCATCATACACACCACGCGTTACACCACAACACTCACATCTACCCACACATAACACATGGAAAAACACAAAACAAACACAACATCGCAACACTCCTAGTCCCTTCAGTATCCGACCCATAACTTCATGCTTTGAGAATCAGGCAGGCATCGCGCGCTGAACTTTTGTATAAGAGTCATGCGCGCACATGGCCTCCTCATATCGACCTGCCATGCGGGCATTCGCAAGCATTTGCGTTGATGGGGTACTATGTGGTACTCGTAGCCTCGCGGCCCTTGATAATTTCGAGGATCGCGTTCGACACTCAAATGTCGGCTGACAGGCGCTTTGAGGGGTAATTTCTCGACGCCAGACAACCGCCATGTGCGGTTGAAGACCACACCCTCTTCTGCACCCTGTGCAGAGGGGTTGAGTAGACAGCTCCTGAGCTGTCGTGGTAGCCAAGATCAAGGGGTTTGACTTTGACGGCTACCACGGACTACAACGTCCAACCAATAAAACTTAAAGAGGAAACAACTGCAGATAGAAAGGGAGGATCGCCCTATTTTATCTCTCTGTCTAGCTCATAGTCTGATAACAGTCTCAAGTGGGAGGTGTAGGCCGACCCGTGAGATGCGTGCGGATGGTGCCCAAAGCTGGACCCATTGGCAACCCGTTGTTCGAGGCGTTGGAGGCTCGTACGCGAGCCCTCATACGTCGACTGGGATTGATATTTCGCCCACGCGCCGTTTCGCGCTATCGAAACTCGGGTCTACTAGCCATAACGCGCCTTTGCCCTTTTTCGCGTGACCCATAACTTTCAGGTGTGGAAATCGGTAAGTGTCGCGCGCGCGGGTTAACATAAGGCCGCGCGACCACAGGACTTACGCATATCGGCCAACAATGCGGATTTGCGTAAGCAATCGTGATGTCGGTGCACCATGTAGTGCCCATACCTGAGTGGCCTCGTTTAAGCCATGGGGTCGCTTTCGATGCTCAAGCGTCGGCTGAAGCGCCCGCTAAAGGGGGTAAACCTTTAGCGAGCGCAAAAACCGGCCTGGGGCCTTACCGTCTTCAACACCCTGAGGTGTCCCAAAGGGTGCAAGGTAAGATGGTCCCTAGGGCAGGAAGGGATTCGGAGCGGTGGTGAGTTGTCTGGCGCATCACCAGCGACATGCTAATCCTTCCGCCCGGAACTTTATCGTTCCACCAAAGCAAATTAAACAAGGAAAGAGAAAAGGGGCGCTTGATGCTAGCAGGAGAAGACATGAATGCCCTGCCAGACTGAGTTGTTGGGGGTCTACAAGGGTCAACATTATCATGTACTACCCCGGTTCTGCTGCTGACGTCAACTGGATGCATTGTCAATTCGTAGGCTGCTAGTAAGTCGTGCGATCGTAGTATAGGCTCTGAGTGCCGAATAGGAAGTTGGAAGCTCAAAGATTAACAGAGGTAGAAGGAGGTTGGGTTGGATGAAGAACTGGCCCGGCAGTACCTGTCTTTGGAATAGGATGATCATGTGGGGATAGCTTGACATTAGTAAGTGGGTCGTGCGTCAGCCTTAGGAGGTGAGGAACGATTCGTCAAGGTCTGGTGAAGCACGACCACGATATGGGGGTTTTGTGGCATTGGTAAGGAGGGTTGTGTACTATGTTTGGGAGGAAGAGGACTTGGTTTAAGGACAGAAAGGAGGAGGTGAAGGAAGTGGTGGCGACAATGAAGGGGAGGTGATGTAGGGAGGAAGCACGTGAAGGAGGCAGTCTCGTTAACTATTGAGTTTGTTGAGCAGAATGATGTTGTTGAAAGTTTGGCCCAAGGTTGTTCGGGTATGTTTATTGTATCCTTACCTTTTATTTATTGACGCTCATGATGACATTACAAGCTAGATATATCACCGAGAATACAAAGGGGTCAGACCGAGGTTCTAGCAGAATGTATCAAAACTTCGTCTAATGAAATAACTAGGGTGCAATATCATTTGCAGTTAGATATGTTATGACTTGGAGTTGAGAAACAATGGGGAAGTGGTTTGCCGTATGGGTTATCTGCTGATGTGTATGATTTCTTTGCCAATGGTCTGACTGTATGAATGTTTCTTTTGTTTGACTGTGTGAATGATTATTTGGTTGACTTATCAGAATAGTACGAATATCAACCTTTGTGTGGGTTGTCCTGTTGTGTCCTGAATTGTTAACTGTTTGTGAAAGTGTGACGAGGTGAGGGCCCCCGTGTAAGTTAAACTCACTTCAAAAGCTATGCAGTGAGGGCTCCTAATTAAGCTATAATTCAATGCATGATTAATTCCTTATGTGATAAAAGCGGTGTGGGCTCACGAGTGACCTAAAATTCGTTGCGTGATTGATTTCTTGTTCTGACATGGTGAGGGATCCCGTGTGAGCTAAGCTTATTGCGTGCTGGATTCTTCTAACTTCAACTAATTGAGATGTGAGCTCCCATGCGGGCCGTCTCACTGTGTGTATGTGATATTTTATATGAATTTGAGTATATGCAACTGTTTCTTGATAAAATTGTGAGATCAAAACTTCCATGAGAATTATCTCGTTGTTTGTATGTCTCTTTGACTTAATTGTGGGTTGTCCTATTGTTCCTAAATTCTAGCTATCTATGAAAGCACGATGCAGTGAGGACTCCCATGTGAGCTCACTAGTTTCTCATTTTGCAGTGACAGCTCCCGTGCGAGTTAAAGACTCATTGTTTGATTAATCTATTTTGCTTAAAGCAATGTGGGCTCTCGTATAAGCTAAATTCATTGCATGACTGATTTCATGCGGTGAAGGCTTCTGTATGAGCTAAACATATTAGGTGATGGATTCCTCTGGTTTAAACTAATTGAGATGTGGACCCTGTGTGGTCTGCCCGACTGACTCTAAAACGTTTTTAATGATCTAAGACACAAGAACTCTTCTAAAAAGGTAAACTAGCAAGGGTAATAAAAGGAGAGATTTCCCGAGAGACACGCCTTATTACTTGAATCTGCTTTAAGTAAGGAAATGTGGTAATAAGGGAAGCGAGACCCTGCGAGGTCTGCTTTATTACCAACCAACACCAATGGATGGTGATAGGAGGAGCAAGGTCCCGTGAGGCATGTCCTATCGCCAACAAATCCTAACATAAAAGTAGATAGTAGGAGGAGGAGTAGATCCCGTAAGATCACTCCGATGGACCCGGATCATTGTGGGAGTGGCAGTAGGAGGAGCGACATGAGGAGGGGGAGATATGGTCGTCTATCTTTCCATGTTCTAGCAGAAGATTCATTCTCATTTTATAAAGTTGTATAGCTAGGGGAATATTCATTCTCATTTTACACATTTTCTGCCACTCAAACGACAAAAATGTGCAAAGTGAGCATGAATCTTCCGCCAGAACATAGGAAGATAAACGACCATATCTCCTCCTCCTCCTGCTTGTTTCCCCCCTCCTCATCACGCTCCTCGTCCTGCGACTCCGACTGACCCGGATTGTCGTCGGACGGAGTGGCAGGAGGAGCGCAATAAGAAGAGGAATATGAGCGGGAGGAGGACGAGGAAGGGGAGGAGGAGGAAATATGGCAGTGTATCTTCCCAGAAGATTCATGCTCGTTTTGCACATTTGGTTGGTAGTGGTACGAAGGCCAGTGGAAGGGAGGAGTGTCAGGAGGAGCGGCACGAGGAGCGGCGGGATGACGAGTGGGAAAAGGAGGGGGAGGTAGCTCCCTTCCCAGGCCCAGGGGAATGGTCTACAACACTATTGGGGAATGCTGAAAAGATGCGCAGTACCCGTAGGGCCATGGCGAAAAATTTTGTGTTGGTACCCAAAGGCTATGAATCCCCCCCAGGGGCGGCCATCCGCGGCCAAGTCCATGGCCTAGGCCTAGGCAGCAACCCCGTGAACGTGTCCGCGCAACCGCGCGGCCTTTGCGGCCGCATAGCGGCCAGTGGGGAGAGGGGTTCGGGATTTGGGATTCGGGAGCACCATGGGGCGGCGCATCCCCAGCCCC